TATATCTACCAATAATAACAAAAATATATATTAAATAGACTAACTTCATAGAATATGTATTTATTATTACCTAAAAGCATTGTTACATTTATTTTTTAGGTTCTCTTTAAAGTAGCTTTTATGTTTTACCACAGGAAAATGTGAATTATATCTTCCTTCCCATACAATTTCCAAATGCTATTACTAATTATTTTTAAGGTTTTCTTTAAAGGAACGTTTTTATATTTTTCCACACGCAAATCCCTGAAATATATCTTTCTTCCCACCCCTTTTCCGGATTATTACCTATCCCAATCTTCCGAATTTCCAGAACTTATGGCGGCATTACGTAACCAACCCCAGCTGCTGGCACTCACTAATTAGAGCCGCTTCGGTTCACCCCCAAAGTTGGAAGGAACATGTCAAGTGAGGCAAATTTGCTGTCATGACTGCGAACTTGGACGTGGACAAGAGCCTGGACATGGACATGGACGTGATGTGGACATGCCACCGACGCCGCGTCTGAGTTGTCCATCAAAAGATGTCAGTCGCCAAACATAAAACATAAAACACAAAACAAACACAGAACTCCGAACTCCAAAACGCAAATCGCAGATGGCGGAAAATCGCCCTTGACTCGGAGTTAGCGTATATACTTTGCCTTCGACTCCGACTCCAAACTCGAACTCGAACTCCAACTCCCACTCCAGATACGAAGGCCTTGACATTTGAAGTTGCGTGCGGGGATCATTAGAATGTTTACCTGTTCGCTGGCAAGAGTATCTAGCACTTTTTTTTGACATCCAGCAGGTCGCGAGGGGAGATTCGCTGGTACGGAATGGAAAATCAAGTTACCAGCGAACAACAGGGTCGTGTGATTGATGTGAACATGTCAGCACGGACATGAAAGTGGACGGAGATGGGGCTTGGGTTTTGGATTGGACTGGACTGCACGGGCAGGAAGCATAAATTGTAGACAAAGATGAGCGCAGATACAAGATACATGCTGCTATTACACGACTCACAATCAGCTGCAGATACAAATTTATGTCATGTGCAGTCTGGACATGTGAATGACAAAAGGCATCGCCACAATCTGATAGAGATTTGATTTTGACAACCGGTTCCACACAGCGAGAAAATATCAGTGGAGCTGGTCGTTAATTAGGTGCTTCTTTTATCAATTGGAGTAAAAATCAAAAAATCTGAAGATAGTTTTATGATCCAGATGGTGGGTGATTTCAGGGAAGGTAGTGCAAAGAATACCTATATTTTACTATCTACATATGTACCTAGGTCCGCTTGATATTCTGGCAAACTACCTTATATTCTCTAATTAAATTAATTAATTAATTATAATAATAGCTTAAAATATAGTTGGTAACCAAATATTTCATAATTCTAGGAAGTATTTGGCATTTAAATATATCACAATATTTACTTTTTTTAAATTATAGCAAAGAAAAAAATTGCAAATCCTTTTAAAGGTTCCAGGAAGAATAAACAATATTTTTTATGAGCTCAAAAATAATATGATTTACAAAAAGGGTAAAAGGGAACTCCACAGAATGTATTGCACAGCTTACCTTTATTTTACCATCTACATACTTAGGTCCTCTTGATATTTTAGCAAACTACCTTATATTCTTGTATTAGTACCGTATATTTATATATTATTTTATATTTCTAGGAAGTATGAAAAACATAATAAGGAAAGCTTAAAGATCAAGTTGCTTGAAGAGTCTTGCATTAAAATATAGTACAGTATTAATTTTTTTTTAATTATAAAAAAGAAGAATATTGGAAAGGTAAGTATACAGAACGTATTAACTTTCTTTCTTATGAGCTAGAAAATATTTAGATTTACAAAAAGGGTAATATCTTGATATATATGTAAAAATGCTTATATGTGATGATCATCTTTATTTTTCTTGGTGCACATGGAGTTTTGAGGCTGGGATCCGACCGATCCGGCCAACCCAACTCGTCGGCTGGGGTCAAGCGGCCACCTGACAGCAACTTTCCTTGGCGGGCCGATTTCACCGATGGACGATTCAATCGGAAGGCCAGGAATGGAAAAGCAGAAGGAGAATCCGTGGAGCTGCGCCTCCAAACTCCAAACCTCCAACTGGGAAACTGTGCGTGCTGTTGACATTGGGTCATAAATTCTGGTGCTGGTGGAAAACAGACAACAGTTTTCATTGTTTGGCTGCTCTTTGGATGCAAGACTTTTGTTTGGACAATACACAAATATGGGCACTAGGCAAACACCGATACGCAGCAATAGACAAATAAATGCCTCGAATGAAATTGGGTTGGGTTGGTCGGCCGAGGGGGAGGAGAGTTGCATTGGGTCGAGTTGAGTTTCGAAGGGGAAAGCCAGGGAAAGGAGGCTGCAAGCAGCTGTCAGAGCCAAACTGTTGACTTTGCCGCTGGCAGGCGGAGTTCAATCGAGTGAGCACACAATCAAAACTACCCCTGGCTGGGAAATCAGGCCAAAGACGCCATCAAACTGGCCAACTCTGCAACTAGGCAAGTTTCAGGGCGCAAATGGGTCAGCCAGCCACGTCACTTGCTGACCCACTTTAGAGTTTTTGGGTTGCAGAATCTATGTATGTCAGGGATGTGGCCAGCACCAATCGGTGGCTGTGAAACTATCCTTGTGCAAGTTCTTAGGCCAGTGAGAAATGGCATACTTGTGCAACACATCCTTTAAAAAGGGTGAGTAATCTAAAATATTTATTTTGTTGATTAAGTATTTTTAGCTTGACCTGTATTTGCTAAGTAAAAATGTCTATTAAGAAAATACAGGTCAAGGTAAAAAACTTAATCAATATATATAATACTATATTAATATTTTCTAAAATTATTGGAAAGCAGCTTTGTTTACTTGGTTTTAATAGCTTTCAAAAAAATATCTTTTGGGAGAACTTCTACTGAAAATTCCAGCTAACGACTAGGATGTTGTTTTTTTTCACTGTTCGATGATTTTTATTAAGAATTTACTATAAATCAATTAAAAATGTAATGTACATATAATGACCTATCAATTCTATCAGAATGATCTGACAAAATCTGAAAAATCACATAAAAACCACATTGAACCAAAAATAGTCATAGAAAAGCAACTATTGTTACAATAATTATTATTTGATTGTATTATTTCAATTAAAAATAAAACCTAAAATCATATTAAGGCGGTTCAGAATAAGTTTTATTTGACAAATTGTATATATAAGTAACAGAATTACTATTATATCATGTGTTTTAAATAAAAATCTCAAAAATAAAATTCATCACGGTTTTGTAATGTCAATGGTGTAATTGGATTTTTTATAGGACTTTTCCAAGTCAGTGATTCTTTTTGCTCAGAAAAACAAAAATTACAGCTAGTTTCGAACCCTGATCTATACTTTAATTTCAATACTTCCTCTGGTATTCCTCCAGTATTAAGTCTTAACTCTCTGTTTTTTTTTTTGACGCCGGTCTTAAAGGTTGATTAGTAGAGTAAGTGATTGATTAAATAGTTTAAAAATCTTATTTTGAGCCAAAATATCTAAATATTTCTTATAGTTTTGCACTGAAATATAGTAATTTTCTCGCATTGATTAAAGTATGACTCCATTGTAATGCGAATTTAGTTAAAGTAACTAAGAATCCCACCACACTTTCAGCTTTTATCAACACCAAGGACATGCTGTCAAGGGCAAGCCCAGACAAGGTGTTACTTGACCCAGATTCGGAAGCCGTGAGCATTTATTTCAGGGGCTTTCAATCCACGACTCCCTCGTGAAAAGCGAGTGCCTTAAATATTTTGAAAGACATCTTAAGCGCCTTAAGAAAGAACCCAAACGCTGATTGGTAGGTCTTATTAACTTTTAAGTAAATACAGATTAAACTTTTAATACATTGCATTTAAATAAATGTTTACAGAAAGCAGAAGCAAATTATGAAATTAACATGGAGAAGGCAGCAAGGGTAAATAGTTTCCTTTTTTTTTAATTTTACATATATTTTATTATTTATTTTATTTGCAGAGGTGTTTAATGCTAGCGAACAGTAAAATGCAGGCCAAAATAATAATTCAATTAACATATTTTTTGTCTCGTTTTTAAAAAATCACAAAAACACGATCCACACCAAGTTTTTCTTTGTCCATATGTGGAAAGTGATTCGTTATGTCGGAGGGTAACTCGGCTATTTAGGTGTGTGTATCGTCTTCAATGGGAAACATTTTGTGCGATGGCAAACAGCTTTTATGCTTTTCAGAGCTTTAGTTCTAGGTTTAAGTGTAGTAAATAATATGTGCAATTTAAGTGGGTTAATTAAATCTCATTTCGGGGGTTTTATTGAATGGAAACTGGGCCATTTTCTTAAATAAACGACAAAGCGTCATCGTGGACTTTATTTTATGGGATGGCTTGTGTCTCCACTTTTTGTAGGAAAATAAGAGCGCCATCTTTCGGCAGGAGTTTCTACTCTTAAAATCTTTATTCTAGTATGGACCCAAACCATTCTTCGTAGAAGTGCTACCAGATCGGAAAAATTATAATTCATTACAATGGAAGAGGAAGAACGGATGGCGCCTTTTTTCAAAAATTTAAAAAAATATGAGTGACAGAGAGGGGGAGAATGTTGCAAGCAATTTAAGTAAGATCATCGGAAAATTTGCCCTTGCTAAAAAGGACCCAACTCAATTTAGATGTACTCTTCTCTATCTACAGAAAGGGTAATTAAAAAAAATTTAAAAAAAAATTTTTTATAGAAAAAAATATTTCTTTATGGGTAAAATGGCATCTATGGCATAGATGGCAGTTTTATTTAGAGTTGATTCACAAAATGTCATTAAAAAAGTGTTTCCATAACTCAATTTTATTTTAAGGTTTTTTAAAGTACTAAGTTAAAATGAATTGTTATCTAAATAAATTGTAATCAACAAAATTACAAACTTGTAACCATTTCCCACAGTTTTTTCGTTGGACTAAGGATCTTAGATAAAACAAAATCGTTGTGTCTCCCTAAGGATTTATTAATTTAGTAAAAATGAATATGAAATACTTTTGTTGTATAAATACCAATGGAATAAATGTTTTAAAAATACTGATATTAGAAGCTCATTTAACGGCTACAAAAATTTCGAACAAACAAAATGCAGTCTCTAACTCTTACACACCGAAAAGATGCCCACAGCAAATATGAAAAGAAATATGAAGAGATACATGGGGATTTTCCAATTTGATGGGGACTGCTCTTCGTTGTATTGCTGGTTGCACTGCGTCGCAAGAGGTTTGGCCACCTTAAAGCCAGGCATAATGCAATCAATAGCTTCCAGGTTGGAGATAGTTGGCTGGAATTCGGGTAAATATTCGAAGAATATAAAGTCAAGACTTGACAATATTTAACAAACCTTTACAAAGAATCTCCTTGCGATGGTCAAATTGCAGGCACACCGAATCGGATTGCCTCTGATCGTCGCTTTGGTTTTGAAGATGCCGACCAGGTTGGACATATCGGTCAGATTGTTGTAACTTAAATCGACGGATGGTATTCGGCACGCTTCATTGGGAAGTTTCGATATGTAATTATGGCTTAAATTCAGGCTCTGCAAGCGAGGCATTGCAGCGAACTTCCAGCTTGGCAGATTGGAAACTCTGTTATTGGAGAGGTCCAGGCGCAGAATGTTCTCGAACCCCGTTGAATTAAGTTCTTCTGGCACTTCCGTAAGATTATTTCCGGCAAGAGACAAGGACTCAAGTTGAGGAGACCGAGACAAGCACTTGATATCAAAGCCGGAATTGTTACTGCAATCTGCGGTCACACCTTCATCTCCATAGGAAATCAAGCAGCGGCATAAATGTAACAGTGGTATTGCCGCAGGTATCACGACACTCCCGGCAATCAGGATTACAAAGGACAGTGCCTAAAAGTGAACGCGTTCGAAAACAGATTTAATTATTAGTTTATTTAATTTTTTCTGGTTAAAAGTTAATTTTAAAAAAAACCTATTACTATAACTATAGCTATGGATATTTTGGGGTTAGGAGCTCAGTTGGGTTTGAAGGGAGGATCGAATTTCTTGCCGTGGAGAAGAGATGATATACCAGTTTGATTTCATGAAAGGAATAAACTACGCTAACTATTATATTTTAAACGAGATTAAGCTTAAACAAGGAGGGAAACTAACTTTGGCACACCGAGCATTGTATGTACAGAGCTTTCCAATTTTTAGAAAACTAAAATATATTTATACAAATTTTAAGATAATGTTCCATTTCAATTTACTACCGAAAACGAAATAAATCGTTCTGTGCATTATTTTGACATTAATTATTCGATCGTCCCTATGGCAGCAAAAAATTGTACTCAAAATTCTGAAATATTAAAAGAATGATATTGCCGAAAGAACAAATTGATATGTCAATAAACACCGGAGTTATAATTTTTTTACATAATAGAAAAATATTTTTTCAGTCATTCCTATGGCTGCTATAGTATATGGTTATCCAATTCGGTTCGTTCCGACTTAAATACAACCTACTATTGAAAAATGACGTTTTGGATAGTTTCGCCCTGATAGCTTTAAAACTGAGAGAATAGTTTGCGTAGAAACGGATGGAAAAACAGACGGACATGGCTAGATCGACTCGTCTAGAGATGCTGATTAAGAACATATATACCTCAGGGAAAGAAGTATATGTGCATTGAAATTATTTTAAAAAAAATCATAAAATAATTATATTAGGTTTTTGATTAAATTTTTTTTATATTGCTTGAGTACATATTAACAAAAAAATAACCATATATTTTTCGTAAACGTTAAGATTAACTTTAAATTAAATAAAGAACTTTATTTTCATATGAAATAAGTATATGTGCATACTGCAAGAAAATTCGAAATATGGGTTGAACAATTTTTTAACAATTTTAAATATACTTCTTAATAATTTATATGTTTTCCTTTCTTAATAAAAATTTGATTAATCCGATTGGGCATTGAAGTTGCCAAGTTTTGCAGAGTTGTCGGATTTATTTGATCCCACTCCTTGATCAAAGCCTTTTTGAGGTCATTAACTGTGTCGAACTGGCGGCCATTCTTGTAAACTTTATTAGAAAGTATTCCCCAAAGATCTTCTATTGGGTTTAGGTCTGGGCTGATCGCTGGCCATTGCAATAGCGGTATTTTTCTAGCTGCCAGGAAGTCTTTAGTTTTACGAGCTGTGTGGATTGGCGCGTTGTCTTGCTGGAATATCCACTCATCCCCATAATGGTCTCCAGCAAATTCGATGAGCACAGTTTCCAGTAACTCTATATTAATTTCTGCATTTGTTTCTAGTCGGTATAAACAAAGTGGAGACTTCCCCAGCATACCCAAATCCGGCCCAAACCATTAATGATCCTCCACCGTGATTTCGTTTATTGGCAGATCTGTCGTGGTTGCTTTTGTCTCGCCAATACTTTTGACAGGAGTCAGGACCGTCTAAATTAATTTTTTTTTCGTCCGAAAAATATACTTTTTTAAACTCCTCCGACCAAATTTTGTATTGCTCAGCAAATTGTAGACGAGCGGTTATGTGACGCTTTAATAGCCTTGGTACAGCGTCGCGTGAACCATATGTAACCATTTGTTCTGGTTCAAAATTTGGTTTATACGTCTTTTTGGATACGTCAAGATTCAGTTGACCTTTTATCTCCATGCAAGACTTGTTGTCTTGAACAGCTAGACGCCGAATTTGTCTCTTGCACCGCTCGTCGATTTCAGTGGGCCTGCCGCTTCGCTTTATTTTTCCATAACTTTCCGGATTTTTAAGGAAGTTACTTATTGTATTCCTGTGCCTATTTAATCTGGCAGCAATATAGAAATGGTCTGCCAGATTCAGCCAGTCCTTTGATCATGCCGCGATCTTCCTCTGACAAATGTATACCACGTGGCATTCTACCGGTAAAATCAAACTTAATATTAATTATTTTATTCTACAAGGATAAACAATATATTTTACTTACGTTCCGCTGATTAAAAAATATTTTTAGATCACACTTCTTAGCTTACTCGCTATCAATAACAAAATAATCTCAATTTGCACATATACTTATTTTCCTATTAAAAACACAAGTTTCAGCCATGTTATTAAAAACGGTACAACGAATGATGCCCAAAGAGGACCATTGAATTAGGAGATGTTCATAAAAGATAAGAATACAAAACTGCGTACTTACAAAAACTGTACCGTTAACTTTAGAGAAAATAAAATAAAATTAAAAAGTGCACATATACTTATTTCCCTGAGGTAGTTCATGGGGTCGGAAACGTCTCCCTCACTTCACACAAACTTCTGACTGAAATCATTATACCCTCAGCAAGGCTACAAAAAGTCATTAGTATCAAAAATGCACATTCTTAAGAACAGAAAAGTGCGTCCTCAATGAAATGCCGCAGTTGCCTTATATTTTAACAACTCACCATAGACACCATGGAGTGCGACAATGCAAATTTCTGTATAAGCTGAACTAAACCAAGCTAAATGACTAGTTGTTGTGAAATAAATTAATTTGATAAGGAAGCTTTCTCTACTAAGAACCATATTGTCAACAATACATCAATAAATAATTTTAGTAACGTAGGGCGTACAAAGAAAATTAAGATAAGACTGCAAAATCATTATTACTAGGGCTTAAATGGTGCACTTTTGGTCAGTGCAATTCCATTTGGCCACTTTAGTTCAAAGAAAACAGTATGAGTAATTATACGCAGTGTAATCAAAAAAAAATCCCATTGAAGCTTTTACAAAACCTTCAAAAATGTGGGCGCTAGACTGGTTCTAGCTTTATAGGGTTTCGAGTGGGCGTGGCACACTGCAGAAATAAATTTAAGGTGTACAAGAATCTCTAGAATCTGCATTCCTAATCCCAGCTTTCTGGCTTTTATAGTTTTGCGGGATCTCAGCGTTCATACGGACAGACGAGCATGGCTAGTGAACCGAATCAAGAATGTATATATCGTACTTTATAGGGTCGGAAACGCTTTCTTCATACTTTCCGACGAATCCAATATAATAAGAGGAGATAAAAGCTAACAGAAGGCATAACATATACTGTTAAGGTCTTGCTGGCGATTACTTAAAACACACTGTTGGGGTTCGCTGACTATTACTTATTAAAACCGAATTATCAGCAAATTTATATTCATGTTGTATTAACATACAATTCTACAAGATGTTGTTTTTCACATTTTAGAGATTGCGTTGCTGGAAGTGAGTCAAGCTGAGTACAGAAGCTTAAGTAATGACAAACCAGACAAAGCATCAACCAGTGCCTTCGAATCGTTTGGATTTATACGACTTAAAATCCGGAACAGGATTCCTCAAGAGGTTTGATTGACTGATTTAATAGTACATTCCCCCAAAAGGACAATTTACTAACCTGTTTTATTTTGCAGACTTCTAAGGAGTATCTGAGATTGAATAACTTGAAAAATACATCGTTTAATGCAAAGGTTAGTGTAGCCATCAGCACAAACAATTTCAAAAAATCGCTTCATAACAATTTTAGTTATCTTGTCCACCGGTTTCCAAGACGTGTTTTCAAGAAGAACGCCATTGAAAAGACCAGAGGTGGGCTTAGTAAACTGAAAATCATATATTGTTGTGTTGAAACGTTAAAAAATCAAACAAAAACACCTCTTAACGAGGTAAGGGGACGTGACGATCGCACTTTCAACATACTCGTAGAGTAAATGGGTGTACTAGATTCGTCGGAAAGTATGTAACAGGCAGACGGAAGCGTTTCCGACCCCATAACGTTTATATATTCTTGATCAGGATAACTAGCCGAGTCGATCTAGCCATGTCTGTCCGTATGAACGCTGAGAACTCGAAAACTATAAGAGCTAGGCTATTGGGATTTGGCATGCAGATTCTTGGGCTTCCTGCGCAGCCCAAGTTTGTTTTATCAGGGGTGCCAAGCCCACTATAATGCCCACAATCCGCGCAAAGCTGCAGTGCCTACAGTTTTTATGCTAGAATACAATTTTAACAAAAATGTATCCTTCTCTTCAATACCTATCGAATGACCCAAAAATTTTGCCACGACCACTATAAATCCCAAAAACCGCCCACAAATTTAAAAAATGTCGTAAATTTGAACCCTGATATCTCGGAAACTATCAAAAATAGAGAATTGGGATTTAAGTTTTAGATTCCGTGTCCTTGTACGCAGCGCAAGTTTGTTACGCGAATATGCAAAGCCCACAAACAGCATAAACCTGTTGCGCATCCAAAAATAGGCAAAAAGGTGTAAATCAGTGGTTAATCAAAAAATTTACTAATGCAAAAGTTACCCCACAAAAAAAAGCAAGTATTATATGAATCGTATTGCATTACCAGATTAACAAATTCTCTCTTTTTCAGATACTCCAGCTATGGCTCGATATGTGGGAGATTAACCAAAGTCATAGTTGGGAATTGGATAGTACCTCAACTTTCCGTTTTCTCTAAATTTTGTGGAGACCCCGAAGATTTCCTTAAATAACTTCCCATGGAGAACTGCGAAACGCTTTTCAAAACTTTGTTTTAAAGTATTAATTTATTTATTTCATAACGACAATGGATTGTTTCCTTATGGCTCCTAGTTAAATATTTAAATCTGTACTAACACCATACTCTAAAATGTTCCACAGGGTCCTACAAAGATTCCTGATCAAATGTGTCATAGATAGCGGAGGCAACTGCAACCCATGCTCGCCACTTCTAAACACATGGATTACTTAATCTTTATAGCCCCGCTTTGGATGGTCGTTGACAAATGGTTTGTATCCTTCCCCTCTGAATATGTAGTTTTCGGAACCTGAAGGTTAGTTGCGGTCTCGAGACTTGAAGAGATCTTTCAACTTTATGGAACCCATCTGTCATTATGTTCCCTAGCTTAGGTGTTGTTGAGAGATTACGCATTTTTCTTAAAGAGGTTTAGACTGAAGGCAGCAAAAGACAATAAGAAAATTATACCTACCGTTTTACATTCCATTTTTTATATTCAACTGTATAGACCGACACAATCAAATTGAATATGCTCTGATATTTTTAGAGCACCGTGTTTTATATCACGAATTCAAGAAAAATATATATTTTTTATCTGGGCGCAAAGAAATGGTATTACAACTTGCAGAATCTTATTAGAGGTGAGCGTAGAGTGACCGATAAGCCGAAAGATCAACTATTCTTATTAGAGGTGAGTGTAGAGTTATCGATAAGCCGAATGATAAAACATTTATTCTTTTTGAACATTACATATGTGGTTGTAAGTTCATATTTTTTATTAATCTTTTAAAATGATTGTCTTTTGGCATTACGGATATATACGAATAATATAAATACAATATATATCGAATAATATTTATTTAATATTGATTGTCTATCGGCATTACGGACATATATACGAATAATAAATATACAATATATATCGAACAATATTTACACAATATATGGGCATTTCCACGGGTCGCGAACGTACGTTCGTTCGCACTTAGTGCAAATAAAAAAAGAAAATAAACGTTTTCTAAATTTGTTTTTCTATTTGATAGCATTTTGTTAGATCTTTGCTTAGTGTAAATGATTTCCATGTTGGCTTATCAACAGTTAATTGAAATCGCTCTCTTTGGATTTTATCTTCTTATTAGATTGCAATAAAGAGATTTTGTAGAAAATGTGGAAACAACTCAAATGTTTTCCTTGCGAAATAAATAAACATAAAAGTGCCTTTAAAAGGAGCTAAAAATTAAAATAAATACATTTTTCAGTTTTCAGGTAAATTTCTTCAAAAAATCAAATGAAATATGCTGTGGTTCCACTGTATAATGAAAATATGGCAATTTATTTATGAAAATACACAAAAAATTAATATGATTATAAAGATTTTTTTCCGTCCTGGTTGACTCTCGTCCTTCTCTGCCCTGTCACTTTTATAAAGCTAAAGAAAATTCAATATTTTTGAATCAAGGCGCCATGCGTTCTTCCTCTTCCATGGACATGAGTTTAATTTTATTCCGATCTGGTAGCACGGCAAAATATGGTTTGTGTCCATGTGAGTCAGCTTGAATACAATTCAATTGTTGTTTAAGAACCTTGCTAAAATGTTGCCCATAAAAGCTGGCTGCGTGGTTTCTGTATGGACTAAGGGCATTTTGCAAGGAAGACAAGGAAATATTTTAGCAAAATGGTATTCGAAATAGATTTGTATTAGATAAATATATGATTATTAATTTTAAAATACTATATAGCTTTCAATGTCTCTTAAGTTAGCAGTTTGACTTGTTGTGCCGGCTGACAGTGCGTATACTTGATGGGAGCGGCTCAGTGCAGATTTGTTGTGCCAACAAAGCCTGCGTCCTCGTCCTGTTTCTCGCTCTCCCTCTCTCTCTCTCTCTCGTAAAGAGAGAACGACTCTCTGGAGCGCGCATACGCGAATTCTTGACGATTGTGCGGCCGTTATCGTTACTTTCCTTCGGCGAAGTTGCGTCCCCCTCGATAAGGCAGCGCTGCCGGCGTCGACGCATCGCTGCGGCGCCGCCCCCGTGGCGTGCGAAAAGGGGGGGGGTGGGGGCGGGGCGAGGGGGCGGGAGTCCTTGCCACGGAGTCCTTTCTCCAGTCTAGAGTCTAGGCGTCCCGTCCAGAGTCCTCAGTTTTGGACAAACACTCCGAGCGGCACGTCAGGGCCAAGCGCGCGCGCTTCTCGTGGTCGAGAATTCTGTCTGTCTGTCCGCCAGCGTGTGCGTGAGCGTGTGTGTGAGCCAGTGCATGGGTGTGCGTGAGCCAATGGCAGCGTCGGTGTTAGCCAATTCCAATTCTGTGGCAAATACCGTGCCGTAATCGGGCGAAATACGTGCAAAAGTCTGGCCCCCACGTACAAAATTCAAGTGCAAACGTAGAAATTTCAAAGTGAAAGTGCAAAAAGAAAAGGACAAGCCTTCCCTCTGCATTGTCCTGAAAATAAACAAAAAAAACGGAAAAATATAGAAAAAACCATAAGCAACACTACCGTTAGCAACAAAATCAACAAAGTGCGCTGGCGGAGCGGGAAACGCCGAGCGGGTTGCGAGCGGCGGGCTCTTCAGCTGCCAGTTCAGCTGTCAAAAGTTAGTTCGACTCGAGAGCCCAATGTTTTATTTTCATTTTTATTTTCATTTTCATTTCTATTTTAGTTTTTAGACCTCCTCTGCCTCTTCCATTCCCAGCCCATCCATTCCATGCGTCCTCCAGACTTTTGCAGCTCTACAAAAGGCGTGGGCGGTGCACAGCGAAAAAATGTGGGAAAGAACATGGGGAAACACTATAGGAACACAATCTATAAAGTCCTTAATCTGTAGATTATTTAGGAGTAAATGGCTAAACTTGATTTTTAACTTCACTTTTTTTACAATTTGTATCGTTTATGTATTAATTTAATTAAATAATTTTAATTTAATATCTTAGTTTCTTTCTTCTTAATAGTTATTGAATACAATTATTTCTAAAAATAAATACAAATAAAATTATTATTTACGTCTCAAACATAGGAATTAAAATTTTAAAAATACTTCTTACTTTTTAATTTGCCAATTGAAACTTGGGCTTTAATTTTAGTAAGCTTAGGGCGGTTTTCTAGTCCGCATGTTACTTTAAAAGTTGAATTTCCAAAGGTTTGCTTGGTGTAAAACCTAATTTTACAACCATTTTTTCATTTAACCAAATTATTAATTAATCTTTGAAGCTTTAAGAACTGAAAGAAATATAAATAAAGAAGGAACGTTTTGATTTTATAAAATTTTAATTTTTCTAGACTGCTCTTTACTTTCATTTTTAATTGATAGTCCATATAGCATTTGTTGTTACTTAGGTATCTTTAAAAGTAAAATAGAAATATTGGCTTGTCTCGATAGCAGTGTAGTTTCCTTTCTTGAGGTCCATGATTTTTGCTGTGTACTCGCGACTTAATTCTTATGGCAATGACAGGCGCTCAAGGAGTTTTCCCGAGCGTTTTCCTGGCCTGCTGCTGCCATTTCTCTTGGAGATTTAATGGAAAAGCTTCCAGAACGTCCGCCTTTAATGTCCGTGTGGCCGTGGCTTGGATAATTTACCCAGAAATCTTTGGGCCAGCCAAGTGCATTACTCATACGCCGCGTTGCCCGAATGAAATCATACCAACTACACAGGGGCAACAACAGTCGGGTTCACCTACTGTGCGCCTGTATTTGTGTGTGGGGGTGTCCATGGTGAAAATTGTGAAATGCGTGCCGTGGCAAAAACAAAGGCAGCCAAATAAATGAAATGAAATGAAACAGAGCGGCAATAAAACGGGGCAAGAACAAAGGACGAGGGCTAATGTCCGTGCCTGTCCGAAAGTCCAGAGTCACGCGAAGTTGCAACAAAAACAACAAACAGCAGCAGCAGTTTTCAAATAGACCACCAAGGTGAACCAAAGGATGTTTTTTTGTGTTTTTTTGGGTGGTGGGGGGTGCAGAAGCTTTATAGTTGGATCAGACTTTCTCCCAGAGAGAGATCTGTAATAAATCAAGGATGTTGTCCTGGCAGGGCAAGCAAATGCAAATAAATTGAAGAATAATAAGGAAAATGCCAAGGCACTGGCAACTGGAAACTGGCAACTGGCAACTGGCAACCAAAAAGCGAAAAGCGAAAAGCCGCCGCACAAAATGTGTAGCATAAATAATTCCACCCACAACACACAGAGACAAAAAGGTTACACAGTCACTAGGGCGACACCAGTAGACATTCAAACGCCGCTGCCGACGCTGGCTGCTCAGTCGACGCCGGCAGCGCAGCCAGCCTGGACAGCAGCACTTTCACCCACACTCTCTCCATAACTCTCTCTCTCTCTCCAAGATATACTCTCTAACTAACCTACATCAACAGCTGTGACTTGTGAAAAAAGTGCCACCACGCAAGCCGCAAAATGTAAAGAGAATTTAAAAATAATAATTAAAAAGTTCGGAAAATTAAAACTAAAACGTAATAATAATATTTTTCAGTGTTTTAGCTGCGGTTAGAAAGTGCAAAGCCCACGAGCGGAGTAAACAATCAGCCAGGACAAATGAAAACGCCAGAGCGCGCCTTTCTCTGACTGTCGCTCTCTGTCTCTCCCCTTCTCTGTCTCTCTGTTGCTGTCTCTCTCTCGCTACCCTTCGCCGACTTTCTCCCGAACAGCTGTTCCTCGAGATACTCTCTCTCCTTATAGCTATACTATCCCTATAGCTTTCTCTGGATTTCTAACTGCGCCGAAGCGTGTGTACATAACCTGAAAATCCGAGCGCTCTCTCTCTCTCTCACATTTTGGATGTTGCGGTAGGCGGACGTTGGGACGTCGCACGTCGCAAGTTGCACACACAACTGTAAGTGCAACATCGGCAGCAGAGCGGCAGCAGAGCGACGGAGCGGCGACGGAGCAGCGTTGATGCCGTTGCAGCTGCTGCTGCGCAGCCAGCAAGAGCAATACGAGCAGCAGCAACGCCAGCAGCAGCAGCAGCACACTCGCAACAGCAGCAGCAGAGCAGCAGCAGCAGCAGCAGCAACAATCAGCAACATCAGCGCCCTGTGTGCACCGACAATAATATGAGGAGTGGCAGTTCGGAATTACTACTCGAGCAGCAACAACAAGAGCTACGGTTACGTAAAATCCGAGAACTGGCTCCGAAAAAGAAAAATGGCAATCGGCGCTTTCGTTCGTGGCGGGAACGTGCGCGTTTCTATGGCACCTCGACACTGGCCTTCTTCTCGGTGACCGCCGGCGCCTCGCTGCTCTTCCTCGTACCGCTCTACGTCGATCCGGCCATATCGACGCTGAGCCACGACTTTATCGAGAAGCCCACGTTGTGCACAACGACGCGTCGCGAGGATCTCGTCGGTATCTTCAATTGCTCGTGGAGTTCGTGTCGCGAGGGCTGCACCTCCGATTTGTATCGCTGCATTCACATCTATGTGACATTCGTGGAGCAGAACATTACGATACCCGAGAACATGACCGATTACAGCAACTTTACGTCGGACATGGAGCAATCCGGCGAGGCCACCCTGCTGGTTAACATCAAGGGTTGCGGCTATCCGCCGTCGGTCACGTGCAAGAACTTCAACGGGTACTACGGCATCGAGGGCGCCATCTTCCCGTGCTTCTACTCGCGCAAGAACAAGACGGTGGTGCTCACGTCCTACAACCACGACGACCAGGTGCCATGATCATCCACTTCTTCGCGGTGCCCTTTGTGATAACGGTCATCTCGTCCATCGCCCTCTGCATCATGCACTGCGACTGCCGCTGCAAGAAGGATCGCAGCCACCGCCGCAATCGGCCGCAGTGCCGAAGGCCGCGCATCGAGAATCTCAGGTGAGTGACGAATGCGCCAGGGGGTTTGGGGTCCCAAAGTTTTTACTAGAATCAAAATACTGTGGGTTGATACCTTACGCAAATAAAGGTATAATAAACCTTTTCTTTTACTGTTTTTATGCTATGCGCGAATCCACTGGGCATCCTCATATAGAGGATATAACCCCCACTCGGGTTAAAATATAAATGTAACATATATTTTATTCCAAATTTTTTTATTTACACTCCACAAATCTTTTTATATCTCCCCCACAACCATATGTTGAATCCGCAACTGATCGAAATCCTATCATATGATACCTTACTCAAATAAAGGTATTCCAGTTAGGGTTATTCTGTTTCGAGTGAGATATTTGCATGATATATAGTACTTTATATTAGGAAAAATATTTTTTGGTACCAGGGATACATAATCAATTGGATTTCTTTGGAGCCGTTTGTGATCACCAGAGGAAAATGCTTTCTCAGCATAAATCAAAACCAAAAAAGAAATGTTTTCTGAAAATATGGAAGCTATAGCTTTACTCGCTTGAACTCTATATTGATTCCTAAAATGGTTAAGAGAGTTTTATATACCTATAATTATGATAAAGTATTTACTCAACTCTTTTAAAATGGATCCTGAAAATAAGAGATCCCCTTCACAACTGATATGAAAGAATATACGCAATTTGCATTGGCTTACAATGAAATTTCGTACATTTTTTCTTTAAAGTTTGGTAGATGGCCTTTTAAAAATATATGTATTCCAACCCCAACATTAGAAGCATTTCAACATTAAATTACTTAATCAACTCTAATAACTTTTTTATCTTATAAATATTATATTTTATATTCTTAAAGCTTAAAACTTATTTAGTGAAAGAACTCATTTCCGAGTAATTTGTATAAATTTCTTCAAGCCAACTTCCCTGCCTCATAAAGCAGCGACAACCCAGTTTTTCAATTATATTATTCAAATATACATGAATTTAAAACGATTTCTGTGCCTGACGTACACTTACGTACATTTCCTTCTTTGGCCAGTAAGTTAATTTAACAAAACTCCCTCAGCAGGAAGTTCTTCCTGTCTGCAATATTTGCTTTCCTGGCGTCGGCGTAATTTAAATAATTCACTAATGACAGTTTTTGTGTGTGTGTCTGAGGGTATGAAGGTGTCAAGGGGGCGGGGGAGTGTTGTTATTTCGGAGTAATATGCGGTCTAAATTATTTATAAGACCAGGCGTCGCATGTATGTGCCACCCTGCACCGCAGACGAGGCATTAGGGCACGCACCCAGCACGCACCACACTGCGTATGATTGATATGTTGAGCTGTTGACAGAGCCGTCGGTATGGAATTCGAGGTGCTAGCCGAGGGGGGAGCCGAGTTTTCCGGCACACTGACAATTACATTTGGCCATCAAGTAAATAGAAAACAATGGGCCATACTTCAACTCCACTGCCAGCTGGTCTTTAATGTCCTGTGTTTATTGAATTCCCTTCGAATTGTGGCCTTATCGAATCTGTGCCATTGTTTTGCCTTCCATTTTCCCTTTTCGAGGAAATTTCCATCAGTTCTCAGTACTCATTGCACATCGATTCAATCGATAATGAATTGGTGGTCTATACCCCCCCGCTGCTCCTTCGACTTTCCCTGCTCCTGTCCGCCCATTCACTTGGTACGTGCATTATTCAAATGTCATGGCAGCCAGGGCGCACTCACATGCCAGCCCGGCTGGGCAATTTAAGCTCGCCGAGTGCTCCCCGTCGAATCGAATCCTTTGTTTTCCCCTGTCTGGCTCATCCAACTGCCTGGTTTGGCTTGGCTTGGACTGGCCCAGCGGCTCCATCAATTGCCGGCCAAGTGCGAGGAGTGCCAGGAGTGGCCTGCCTCGCAATCCTTCTTTGGCTGCACAGATCGCCGAATAATTGCCGTCCATACGACCATACGACATTCGATTATAAAGGTGACCCCATTCAGTCAGGTCTTACACAAAGAGAAAGTACGCAAATAAACACGTTTCACAAATATGGCACGATTCTGTAGCATACTTATTGGCGCACTCAATAGCTCACAAGAGGTGATGTTCTCAAAGAGGAATACAAGAAAGGGCGTTAAATAAGACATGAAAGAGAATAAGATTATTAACTATGATGATAATGTCGATATTTTTATAGAACACGTCTATAGTTATTAACTCGAATTTAGTTGGAATTTTTTTAGTCTTACCATGTCGAATTTTAAGTCTGCTTAAAGTGCACTGTTTATACAATATTATATTATATACCATACACATGGGCGGATTCACGGGGGAAAATGGGGATCTATGCCCCATTCAAGTAAAGAAGTATATGTTATATGTATTTTATTCAAAATTTTTAGTTTCTACTCAAAACACTTTATATCTTTCCCACAACCAATTTCTGGATATTAAATGACTTTAAAACCAATTGAGTTTCCCTAGTTTCTTTACTTTTTATTCGGTACTGTAAGTAATCATTACTTGCAGATTTTATATTTAAAAGACTACTGTGATTTGTACTTTTAAATGTACAAATAATTGGTTTATTCTTAGCTTTTCTAAAAAGAATAACAAATTAATCGAATTGGAAAGCAAACAAAACTTTATTTACGCTTCTCCACAAAATGCTTTAAATTCAACGAAAAACTTTAACGAAAGTCATAACAATCATAAAAATAAAAATCACATTTATTGATTATTATCCGTTCTAAAAAATTATTCTTCTTTAATAGAGTTGTTTAAATATTTTTAAAGTTTTTCTATACCACCTTTCCACAAGTATAGTTCGTTAGTAAATTATTTTAAGACACCTTGTTGTATATGGCTGAGGTTTTTTGTATACCTAACCCATTTAAGAAAGGAATTAGCATGTCAGGTTAAAACCTGAATGTGAAATATTTTTGAGTGCTGTATAAGCAAGTCTAAAGCAATATTGGATGTGCGAATAAGTCTGCGGACAGCTGCAGGTGCATGTTCAACATATTCTCCCACAAAAAGTTTCAGTTGCAAATTCCTTGGGCGGCGGTGGCGATGGTGGTGTAAAATGTATCTAATGCGCATATTTTAACTTATTTTCAACGGAAATCACTAATAAAAACAGTTGAAAAAGAGCTGTTGAAAAGTTTCGAAACAAAATGGCGTCAGCTTTAGCTATCTGCTATCTGGCATGCACAGTGGAAACACACATCCCCACACACATCCCTACCCCATCCGCCCCCTGAATGTGTGTTACATAATCAGCTTACCTTTCGCTGATGCCTTTTCTTGTCGCTGAATCCGACTTTGTTTCACAGTCACAGTTGCCGTACCGCTGAGGGATTTGCCGGATATCATTCACACGGCACTTGACTAAAAACTCTTTTGCAATTCGAACGGTATGCAAAATAAGCTGCCAGTTAAGTGCAGCAAAAAAAATTAAAGGAGGTAAATACGAATAGTTTTAGCACATTGCCGGTTGGCTAGTGATTATGGGGCAGCATTATGCCACATTCGCACGTTGCCGCCATTTTCGAGTGGCAGGCCTTTTAGCCACTCAATCATTTGGCCATAACGCAACTAAATCGCCGTCAATAAAGCCACCAAATGCCTCTGCAACTAAGTAGCCACGGCCAGCAGGAGTTAAAAGCCAAGTAGGCTAGACCAGGTCAACACAGAGTCGATGTCGAGATACCCTGGCACTTTAATCGGATTAACATATTTAACTTAGCAGAATCAAAACCAAATAATTGATTTAAGCTTTCAATAAATATATAAATGATGGCCATTGTCCACCATAAATCTAATCAGTTTCATTAATATCTATTAACAGCTTTCTATTTTCATAACAAAAGTGTTTTAATCAAATTGTTGAACAGAAATGGGAATATAATGTATAGTTATCCTATTTAGAAAGATAATTTGTGGAGATAACTAACTATTTAACATATATTACCATGCTTTTTAGTACTAATTATTATTTCTACTTATAGTATCTACTTATTATTACTACTTAATTTTAATAATAATTTTCAGAGAATATTAAGTTAACATGCATGTTATTAGTTTTTATTACTACCTACCTATAATTTACTACTTATTATTTCCACTTATTTTTACTGCTTATTCTTTCTACTTACTACCCTTAATACCTTTTTTTTTCGATCTTCATTACTGAAATCATTAAATCAAAAATAAATACCTAAATTTGAAATCAATACATAATTATTCTTAGGTTCTTTAGTATTATGTTCAGTGGAAATAAGGTATTTTATTACATCATTTAGAAATCATGCACAACATATTTTCACTACGCTTATTACGTTCTGTCAGTTTATAAAAAATTCCATTTAATTAAGTGTTAGCTATAAAAAATTATTAGGGAGACTTCTGCTTAATTAGGAAAAAATTTAATTAAATGCAGTGGTATGTGGTAAGTGGCATGGCCATAAAAATGTGAAAGTTATGATTAAATTGATGATGATTAAATCAAGAAGCTTGAAAAGTGCGATTTGGCTAAACTAGCTTCATGGTTTTGTGGTTCCCTGGGCGAGGGTATGACCACCATCAGCATCTTCTTCAAGTGCAGCTCAAACAAGAGTTTAAGGGTTGAGCAGTGGGGGGTTTTTGGGGTCGTTGGGGGTGGCAAAATAGTGGGTGTGGATGGAAATGGGTGCCATGGGGGAAATGCTCCTAGTGTGGCCTACTTCTGTTTCTGCTTTTGCGGCTGCCTAGAAGCGTTTTTCTTTGTGAACGGGTGTGTGTGTGTGTGTGTGTCTATGCGAGTGTGCCACTTTGTGCTGCTTTCCCTGCCTTTCTTTTATTTTATTTTTTATAGAAAAATCAATTTTGCTCCTTTTATGAACATCCCAAGCAGCTAAGAATGCAACGAAGTCACGTCTTTCATTTTCCTAAATGATTTTTTACGAATCGTGCGTTTTTTGTTTGCCAATTTCGATAGGCTGTGGTCAGAAAGAGATGTTTTGGTTACCAATATATATGGGACATATATGCATAGGCT